AGGCAGGGGTATTACCACACCGGCACACGCAATTTTGCCTCAATTCTGCCCTGTAGTGTAGTCCTGTCCCCTCGGACTAGCAAGAACAGGCAACAGAGTCACTCAGTGCTTATAGCCAAGAGCATAAAGCTCTACTTGGGGGCCAGGCGTATGGTGGGGCAGGAGAGATAGTTCGACGAGTAAGAGCACTTACTGCTCTTACAGAGGACCCAGATTTGGCTTCCCGAACAACCAGAAGATTCAGAGATACCTTCTGATCTCCAAGGGCACCTTGGAGGCATGTACATGGCGAACACGTGCACATACAAGCAAACACTTTTAAAAAACCAAAAATCTCTAGTTGTGAGGAGGCTAATAGAAGGCTCCTCCATACCTACCCCCCCTTCCCACCATGAGGATCAAACTCATGTCCTACTTGAAAGGCAAGCACTTTATTAAGCTATCTCCCTAGTCTGTGTGTGTGTGTGTGTATGTGTGTGTGAAATGATGTATGGGCTCTGTGTGTGTGTGTGTGTATGTATGTGTGTATGTGTGGTGTATGGGCTCTGTGTGTCTGTGTGTATTTGTGGTGTATGGGCTCTGTGTGTGTATGTGTGTGTGATATGATGTATGGGCTCTGTGTGTGTGTGCTCTGTGTGTGTGTGGTGTGGTGTATGGGCTCTGTGTGTGTGTTATATGTGTGGTGTGGGGGCTCTGTGTGTGGGTGTGTGTTGTGTGTGTTATATGTGTGGTGTGGGGGGGGCTCTGTGTGTGTGGTGTGTGTGTTTTGTGTGTGTTACGTGGTCATAGGAACATTGGTTCTCCTGCTCTGTCACTCTGTCTTGTCCCTCAGAAAATGGTATGTCAAGTCAATTAAATTGAAGCCCACTGTTTCTGCTAGACTGGCTTGCCGGTGAACTCCTGGGGTCTGCTTCTCTGCATCCCCCAATCCTGAGTTCATAGACATATGTGGTCTGACTTTCACATGAGTGCCAGAGATTCAAACCCAGGTCCTTTTGCTTGTGCAACAAGTGCTGTTACTCCCCAAGCTGTCTCTTCAACTCCCAAATCAATCTTTATAGAGGCTGTGGACATATTGTTCAGGGCATGCCATCGGTGGACGGAAATGGTTAAAATGAACTTCTGGCTGTTGGAGGCAGGATGGAGATGAAGTAGGCTGTTTGGAAGTGGGGATGAAGGGAGACATGATCACAGAGGAGGGAAGTGCAGAGTTAAAAGCCAAGACAATTTGGCAGGGTCTGGCAATGTGGGGTGAGGGAGAGATTGGTTGGAAGGTGTCGATAACACAAGCTGAGGTGAGAAAAGTAGGGACAGGGCAGTTTGACACTAACTTTGGACACCAAGTGTTTGAGAATACAACCATCCAGGACCCTCAGAACGCTCTCTTTGGGATTCTGGTCCTTAGCAGACCATCAGGGAGGAAAACATCAGGAGTTGAGACAAACTGTTCTGGGCACAGTGAGCACCCATTTGTTACTTATTGAGAAGAATATTGTTTAGTCAAATCCCTCCATATACCACCAGGCTTCTGGCTCTTCTGAATCTGGTTTTCTGCCTGTCCTTTTCCAACCTGAATTACCCTTTAAATTTCCAATCACTTTTCAAATGCATAAACAGCTCACTCTTGACTTCTGTTACAGAACTCCAAAACACAAATCAAGATTAACCCTGATGGGTAATGGAGTCTGCCAAGGAAAAAGAAAGGGACCAAGATTCTAGGCAGAAGCTCTATCGAGAGCAAAGTAAAAAGAGGTAGCTGTGCCTAATGATTGAATTTTATCAGGAATTACAAACTAGTTTGTTGGAAGCTCTTTGTTCAGTTTTCCCAGATTGGGTGAACTATTGTTGTCCCAAACCTGTAGAAATACAGACCCTAACTCTAACCCTAACCTTCAGGGGAGATTACATAGAACTCATGAGAAAGAAGTCTTCAAAAATATTTTGGAAGCTCAGGTATGTTTTAACATGGAATGTAACCTTCTGTGAGCATATTTATACTTTTAAAGTTCAAGAAGATTCAAAGGACAATAGAAATTTCTGCTCTGGGGGTGCTGGAGAGATGGCTCAGAGGTTAAGAGCACTGACTGCTCTTCCAGAGGTCCTGAGTTCAATTCCCAGCAACCACATGGTGGCTCACAACCATCTGTAATGAGATGTGGTGCCCTCTTCTGGCCTTCAGGCACACATGGAGGCAGAGTGTTGTATACATAATAAATAAGTAAAATATTAAAAAAAAAGAAATTTCTGCTCTGGGAATCTTCCCATGTGCTATTAAGGTTTTAATGACTATTATAATAAGTATTATAAGAAGCCTAAATGTTTCTCAGCTTTTAATGTATATTCTAAGAATATATGAGACATTTTCTCTTTCTTCTTCCTCCCTTTTAAAGACAGGTTATCACATGTTGTAGAATATTATCTTAAGGTGCGTTGCTTTTGTTTGTGCTATATTTGTTTAACTATGTGAAGCTGTGATTCTTTGCCTGTCTAATACACCTGGTGGTCCTAATACAGAGCTGAATGACCAATAGCAAGGCAGGAGCAAGGATAGGTGGGGTTGTCAGGCAGAGAAGATAAATAGAAGGAAGTAAGAGGAGCAGCAAGAGAACAAGGGGAGGAGGACCTCAGGGGCCAGCCACCCAGCCACCCAGCCAGCCATGGAGTAAGAAGGAAAATAAGATGTACAGAAGTAAGAACCATAAAAGCCCAGAGGAGAAAGGTAGATGGGATAATTAAAGATAAGAAAAGCTGGCTAGAAACAAGCCAAGCTAAGGCCGGACATTTATAACTAAGAACAAGCCTCTGTGTGTGATTTATTTGGGAGCTGGGTGGTGGGCCCATCAAAAAGCTAAGAGTAAAATACACAACAGTCATATATCTCAGATTGACCTCAAACTATGCAGCTACACACACCATCATGCCTGTTTTATGTGGTCTTGGGGATGAAACTAGAACCTGTTATATACTAGGCAAGCTCTCTACTTACTGAATCACGTCCCCAGCCCTTCAAAGGTATTTCTTACATACATTAAATTTAACATTGTAATTTCTCACTTAATCACCATATTGCTCAAAAATTTTAAAAAGTGAGTTACAGGGCCAGGAACATGGTCCAGCAGGTAAATGCACCTGCTGCTAAGCCTGACAACCTGAGTTCAATCCTTAGACCGCAAGGTGGAAAGAGAAGACCAACTCCTACAAGTTGTCCTTTGACCTCCACATATATGTAGTAGCATGTTACCCACACACATACAAAGTAAAGATGTAGTAATTTGAGGCTGGAGAGATGGCACAATGGTTAAGAGCACTTGTTCTTTGTGGAGGACTTGGGTTTGGTTCTTAGCACCCACTTGGTGGCTCACAGTCATTGATAATTCTAGTTCCAAGGACTCTTGACATCCTCTTCTGACTTCCATGGGCACCAGACACATGCCGTACATGCACATACATACCTGCAAAAACTCTCTCTCTCTCTATATATATATATGTAATCTAAAATTTTTAATGTAAATATATGTGCATACACACACACACAGATTTGTTTGGTTTTTCAAAACAGGGCTTCTGTGTAGCCCTGACTGCACTGGAACTTGATCTGTAAAGCTGTCTATCTCTGCTTCCCAAGTGCTGGGATTAAAGATGTTTGCCACCACCACATTGCAAGCTGTCTCTGAGATCTCACAGGCTTGCTAGTCCTACCTTTGACAGTTTTAGCTTCCCAATTTTCTATTCCCATGTATGGCACTGCTTTCCTGTAAGTTCTGCCTTTCTTTCCACCTGTACCGTCCTAACCACTGCCTCTAGACGGGCCTCACGTTTTCCTGTGACTGCATCCTATTTTGTTGTGTTACAACTCCCTCTGCTCAGACTTCAGTAGTCTCCCATCATTTGAAGAAGACAAAGATGAAGATGATGTCTTCAAGCTAGGCTTGCCTGGCCTCCTACTCTCTGACGTCACACCAGCTATGGGCTGTCATGTGCTAATCCTTTACAGCAGGTATTTCTCTCCATACACCTTTGAATCTTGCTGTTTTCTTTGTCCAGGAATGTTCTGCCATCGAGTTTGAGACATGAAAGACAGGGAGGAACATGGCTTATTCCTTTCTCCTACAGGTCTGTAAGTTGGCAGCCTCATTTAAAAAGACCTGCTTTTACCACCATCTGAAACTGCACCTTCTCCTGGGTCTGTTTGTTCACTTCCCTTCACCTAACCACTAATATTTGGCTCACCTAAGTCATGTACACCTTTAGTTGTTACCTGTGTTCCTTACTGAAGTCTTTGGGTGCCAAAAGGACTGCTTGCTAATTTTGTTCACTGCAAATTCACTTGCCTTGCATACTACAGGCATCTAGCAAACACTTGCTAAATGGGTCATTCCAAAAATAGCTGTGTCCATCAGCTGCACTGCTAGCCTCTTCTAGGAGGATTCTGTATAGGCAGGGAGAGTATCCTGTACACCCCTGATTTTCCAGAATAGGGTCATATCTATGCTCAACAAACATGATTTCTAAATCTGATTTGTGTGTGGGTTCTTAGCATCTGGAATCTCAATTCATTCAAGTATACAGCTGTAGTTACTGAGTGCTACTTATGCTTTCGTAAAATATTACTGGTTTATTCTTTTTGGGGGGGATGGTTTCACTCTGCAGCTCAGGCTATCCTTGAACTATTGGTAATCCTCCCGCCTCAGCCTCCTAAGTGCAAGGCAATACTATTTCAGAAGAATTGAAGGCAAGTCTATATGGTATTGAGCCATTATGTCCAAATGTTGTTTCAACAACCAAGAATATGAGACTGAAGCAGCAAGTTGCTGCAGGGTATCTGTGTGCCCTCAGAGATATGATCGCCTGGTACCCTGGCTGAGTAGTGGGAGGATGTCACCGGCCTCTGTAGGTTGCACTCTAGCCCAGATTGGTACAGAAGGCCTGCCAATGAGTGGACTAGGCGGGTGGGCCCCACTCCCTGGCACACAGAAGTAGCCCCATGGAACAGGCAACAGTTCTAAAGCAAGGATTTATTCCAAGTGCACGCGAGGGGGTGGGGCGCACTGTCAAAGCCTGCATTGTTCTGGGAAGGCACATATTTCAAAGCAGGTAAACGTCCCCATGAACATTCTCCTAGCTCTCCCATTTCCACCATTCTAGCCTGAGGGGGGCAGGAAGAGGGCCTTACAGTTCTCTAACAAAACATAGGCACCTAAGGGCTGAGAGAGAATTATATAGCCTTATTTTTTTATTAGCATCTACCAAGACAAAAAAAAAAATCAAAATTGCGGCGCTGCTCCAGTCCCACCTCCAGCTGGGCCCCAAAGGAGCAGTGTGTGCCTGGGGAGCTCCTGCCACCAGAGCTGTTTGCAGAACTGGGCACGTGTGCACGCTGCCCCTTATGCCTATGAACTGGCCACAGGCCTCTTCCTCCACCAGGTGGGGACAAAAGGGCAGCTGCTCTCTCCTGTCCTCAGCTTTCAGCCTTGGTAACTTTGAAAAGATCAGCGATGTCCGACAGTGCTTGGCGGATGTGGTTCCCAAAGCGTTGAGAATTCTGTGGGAACTGGGAGCTCAGACACATTCTCAGGACAGCCCCCATCCATATGGACCCACAAGAAGACTCCTCCCCACACCCCAGAGATGGAGGGTGCTTCTGGGATACCCCAGGTAGCCCCTCTTCTTGGGACCACCCCAAGTGGGAGCATAGGAGACTCACCGTCTCAGAACTTGAGAACTTGCTGGAAACATGGAAGAACATAGTATTTTCACCTGCGATCATGTAAGAAACCCCATAACCATCATCTGCCACCTGAGGACAAGAAGCAAATGAGGCCCAAGAGTCAAGCTGATGGATTTTCCCTTCCCACGAGAGTCACAGGAGGGGAGCCCACGTGGATACTACATTCTTGAGGTCAGACCCCATGCTCCTAATCCTGGAAATAGTATGCAAACTAAAGGACTCTGCCTCTGGTTCTAAGACTGGAACTTCTGTTTCCTCTAAGGATGCTGCCTCTGTGTTTGGCGGTCGAGGACTCACATTTCCTCAGGCACTCACAGTATGGACCACACCCTCTCTGTAGCAATCTCTAGCCTCCCGACAGAGTAGCTCATGTGAATGATCCACGGGGGAAGAGTTGTTCTCAAGGGAATGCACCCCTGAAGGCCCAGTGTGAAACCTTGTCCCCGGAGAACTAGCGTTGGGTGCAGTGATGCTGCACTGGGGAGGCACGTGGAATGGGTGGTCCTAGTACCTGCCTGCCTGAGTTAGCAGCTACCATTTTACATCCACACTGGTCTTCTCTAAATAAAGTGCTCATGCCACGTCTGCACCCCTAAACTGAAGCTCTAGGGCCCCAGGGCTGCCAACCACCATCCTTCTGGGGCACTCACAGGGCCAAAGCCACCTCCAGCACCCAGGTGATTAGGGTATTGATTGGGATCAAACATGCGGATCTGGGACTGAGGAATCTGGCTTGTGGAGAGGCTCCAGGGTTCTGAAAGCACCTGTAACAGGGAGGCAGCAGCCTGTCAGACATGAGGCACCTTTCCTACTGGTAGTGTCAGAGAACGACTTCAATATAGACACTATCAGTCAGGCACGGTGGTACATGTCTGTAATTCCAAAACTGAGCAGGCAGAGGTAGGAGAATCATCCATGAGTTCAAGGTCAGCCTGCTCTACATAGTGAATACCAGGCCAGTCCAAGCTATATAACAAGACTTGGTCTTAAATGAACAAGCAAGACAAAACAACACAAAAGGCATTACTTGAGAGTACAGAGATGGGCATGGTGGTGCAGGAGTTCCCTGAACTACCGATGTCTCTGTCCCCTACTGCCCTTTGAAAGCCTCAGTGTCTGCATAAACTCTCCCCGGCTGCAGCTGTCTTAGTCCCAGCTGACCTGCCTCTCCCTGACCTCAGCCTGTTTTACTCTCTCACAAATACTATCACCATCTGGCAGAGCTCACATGTGTCTGCTTTCCCTCATAAGAGCACTGACTCTACAGAGCCCTATCGCAACAAGGCCTTGCTCTGGGCCTAAAGGCAAGGGGATAGAGGTCACCCCAGCAATGTCACTGACCTCAGCCAGGAAAGGAGAGCTAACCCCTAAGTACTTGGAGACGATATAAAGGCAGAAGAGATGCCTGTCGATCCCTGCCCCTGTCATGGCCAGGCGGTACATGTTTTGGTGTTTTTCCGAAGCCTTCCGGAAGAGAGCCTGGAGGTCTTCTTTCTGGGGATCAGAAGCAGAGGGGTCAAGTGGCCCTTGAAGTAAACAGGGGTGGAGCAGAAAGAGACAAGGAGGTGGGGGAGGGGCTCACCGTATGGGACCCCTTCACCATGGCCTGCACAAAGGCTGTGGACTCACTGGTACAGGAACGCACAGTCTCAGTCCGCCCCTCTCGGAACATTCGTGTCATTGAGGCCTCATATGTCAGGCAGAACTTGCCTTTGTCCTGGGGTATACACAGCAGGGGAAATCAAGCAGGTGGACCCTGAGGATGCCCGGCACACTCAGCAGCCCTGAGAAACTCCTACCCGGAAATGAGCCAGCTGCAGGGCAATCTGCACGAAAGCGTCAGGGCTGGTCCGACACTTCTTGATGAGGCCTTTGCCAAAGGGTAAGAACTGGAAGCAATACAACTCCACATCGTCAGCCAGTGCCTTGGCCACCTGGTACGAATTCTCGATGGCTTCCCGGCACTGCCAAGACATAGAAAAGGGTCAGGTGAGGGCAAAGTCCTCCAAGGAGGCCTCTGGATCTAAGAAGGTCTGAAGTCTGGGTGACAGAGGAAAGGCAGAGTTAACCCAGGAGCTTCGGAAGACACGAATGACAACCGTGTGAGGATTCAGCACGAGGCCATGCTGAGCCTGTGGAGTGGAAGGAGGTGTTATCAAGTGCTCTATGGACACGAGCCATGGATCTCAATATTTCTCTAATCAGACGACCCCGGAGTCTCTGCTTTCCATGTGGCCCACATGGCACCCTGGGAAGCTGTGTCCCTTCATCTTGAGGGTGAGACCTAACCCACCCATCCTAGCCTTCATACCTGCTCAGGAATGTCCCACTGCAGCCGCTGAGGAGGGGTCAATTTCATGTTTGGCTCACCCATGCAGTGCCCAGTCTCCGAGTAACCCAGGTGAAAGGTATCAGTGCCCAGGACAAACTGCAGGGATCAAACAAAACTGAGACACAAGCGTCATTGCCAGGGCCTGCCCTGAAGGTCCCTCTCTAGGCCTTTACCTCCCAGAGGTGCCCAATGATGGGGGCATCTGCCCATGAATGCTCTGTGTTGAGGCCCAATGTGCCATTCTTGAAGGAAATAAGAGTGAAAGATTTGTCGAACCACCTGCAGGAGTAGATCAGGGTAGAACCAAAGCTGGGAAATTATACAGATCTCTGACCTCCAACCCTAACCCCATACTGCTAACACTAATGATCCAATTCTAATTATTAACCCAGAACTTAACCTTAACTTCTGTTGTTTTAAAAAAAAATTTAAATTACATTTGTTGGTGGGAATATATGCGCGTATGCATGGAAGTCAAAAGGATAACTTTCAGGAGGAGCTGGTTCTCCTTCCACCATGTGGGTCCTGAGGTTCGAACTCAGGTCATCAGGCTTGGCAACAGGCACCATTACCCACTGAGCTATTTCACTGACCCCCTCATCTCTATTCTTAATCTTCAACTCCAATCTTAACTATTACCACCTTACTTCTAAATAATGGTACGTGCCCATTAACTCTGTTTTTTTGTTTTTCCGAGACAGGGTTTTTCTGTGGCTTTGGAGGCTGTTCTGGAACTAGCTCTTGTAGGCCAGGCTGGTCTCAAACTCAGAAAGATCCGCCTGCCTCTGCCTCCTAAGTGCTGGGATTAAAGGCATGCGCCACCACCACCCAGCATTGTTTTATTTTATTTTATTATTTTATTTTTTGGGCCCATTAACTCTGAACCTTACTTCTACCTTAATTTTCTAGCCCAAACCACTAGGCTATAATCTAATCACTAAACTTTAACCCTAACCTCTGACCTGTGAGTCTGGGGCACATACCTGTTGTAGCAGTTACCATGAAGCAAGGCTTTGCCGTAAAGGCTTAGACTGTTCTCCTCATCAGGGTTGTAGCCGTGGGGCTCTTCATCCAGGGCCACAAAGAAAGCAGCACGCTCAATGATATCCAGAGAAGTTCTGTTTCGGCCAGAGCTAAAGAAGGTCCGACGTGCCTGTGCCCACTCTACCCTGGGGGTACAAGGGTGGGTAAGCAGTAGAACCAATGTGTACTTTTTATCAGGGTATCTTAGGATCGGGCTGAATCTGGAGACGAGATGAGGCCATCTGGGTATCCTGAAAGATGTCCTCTGTCCTTACCACCATTTTGTATTATGTGCAGATCCTTGGTTGTACCTCCTGCCCTTAGTTCTAGGGTGGAGGTAGGGCCAAGGTTTTCTTCTCATGAAGCCTTGAACTTGGGCCAGGACAAGCCCTCCCCACAGGCCCTGGGTACCTTCCTCCTGCAGTGAGGGCTGCCAGTTTCTCCTCCCCAGGCTGAGGCGGGGAAGGGTCATCCAGGATCCTCTGGAACTGCAGCTCTAGGTCTCGAGGCTTGAGCAGGCGAGAGCCCTCGTAGAGCCACACTTTGAAGAAGCGGCCTTTGTGGTAGACAGCCACGTGCCTGCTCTCTGACAGGTGTTGCAGCACATCTGGGACAGTAGCCAGTGAGAAGTTGAGGCAGGACCTCAGGGAATGCCCAGAAAGGGCCCACCTCCCCCTCACAGGTGGTCCCTGCAGACTCTGCTTTGCCTCACATCTGACCTGGGTCTTCATCTAAGGGCAGATTTCCATGTTAAGCTAGTCCCTGGGCCCCATGTGAATCTCTCCTGCCTCCTCTTCAGGCTCCACAAGGGACAGGCTGTCTTCTCCTGAATTCCACCACCCCAGCCATGCTCTTCCTCTTTACGATGGCTACCTTCCTAGGTACTCGGAAGTCCTGGAAGCACAGCCACTGTTCTGGACCCATGTGGTCCCAGAATCAGCACCATGTCTGTACATAACAACCATCTAGGAGCTGTCATAAACTGACTACTTTTCAAGTTCATGATGCCGAGACACTGGAGTGCTTAGAGAAAAATAGTAGTTGAACACCTAGCTGTCATGGGTGCCTGGGAGAGTAGGACTTCCTCTCAATGGATGTTTGGCTGTAGCCCCGTACCTGTTTCCTTGCCTGGGATGCGTGTAGTGTTGAACATCCTCTCCATCTGGTAGGAGCACATGGGCACCATGCCCAGCGCCATCACCTGGGAAGAAGGTCCAGCCCAGCATGGCTTAGATTTGGGCCTCTTTCCCTTACCCCACCCTTAAACCTGATGTAACTCACAGGTTTGATCTCTTCACGGTCCAGTTTGCGGCGATACATGATCATGGCGTGAACGGCATTTCCCAAACGTGCTGCTTGCACGTTTGTGTTCCGGATAAGCACAAAATCCTACAGACAGAGCAGAGGCTGTAGGCTGGGCACTTCTGTCTGGGTGTCACCTGCGTCTCTCTAGCCCGAGGAAACTTTCTCAGGGCCTGAGGTATTGCATCCCCTGTCTATGTTCCATCTTACATCGTGCCAGGGTGAACTTCCAGAAACCTGTAACTGGCAGACTCCAGCTTCGACCAGAACTGTTCTCTGCCCAGTCACACACTGCTAATTAGGCTTCAAAGGGGTTCTACCACAAAACAGCAAGAACAAATGTTTGATTTGGACAGGCTGTAAATTGCTAGAAAGACAGCTCATGGACGAGGGGAATTCCAGGAGGCTAGCAGGTTATGTTTTGGACATCTGGAGAAATTGGGCCCTGGGCAGCAGGAAGTTCAGCTCCCTGTCCACAGGCATATGATGTGGACACTGGTCACCTGAAGGGAACAGACAGTGGCATCCTGAGTACTGCAAGGAGCTGCTATTTATCCTGTGGTCCTGATGACACAAAGGGACAAAAGCAAAGTGTGTTTTAAGAAGTTCTCTGAAAATGGTGTTGAGATATTGGAGAACCTGTGCCTGAGAGGCCAGGAAGTCAGAGGGGACAGGAAGTTAGGAAGCAATGGAGTATGGCATAACTGGCCTGAGAAATTCCTGGGCAGTCTCAGACTCTCCCTCTTGTCAGGATGCCCACCACCCATAGGCTGGGTCTGGGCTATTCCTCCAGGATCTTTCCTCCTTTTTTCTTTCCCTGAGACCTCACTCCATAACCCCCACTCACCCATGCAAACGCTCTGGGATATCCTCTAGATCCTTGTTCCAGAAATGGGGACAGAGCTGGGCACACGGGAGCCCTAGGAGGCTCTGGTTCTTACCATGGCATAATAGTTGCTGTTCACCATGATGGGGTTCCTGCCTCGGAGGTAGACGTACTCTTCCCACCAGTCGCTCACCTGTGGGTAGTTAGGCTGCAGGTTAGGGCTGGGCAGGCGTGGCAAGAACACGTGGATAAGAACAAGCCCGGGAGGGCAAACTTACATAGTTAGTTGCCCACCATGACTTGAGTACCAGGTATTTCTGCAGCCTGGGGGCAGTGTTGTTCTGGAATTCTTTGGCCAGTGTCTCCATGCGGTAATATTCTTCTTCATCCAATAAGGGCCGCACAGAATCCAGGTACTGTTCAGCCAAATTATTATCATGAAGATGGCTACACCTCCATCTTAACCTTCTCACAACCTCTCCTCAACCAGACCCCATTCTTCTCAAGCCAGCTATTTATAGAAAACAGTCTTTATGAGTTTGGGCTAGTCCTCTGAGTCCAGGATTTTGTGCTCGTTAGTAGTCAGGCTCTTACCCGATGAATGGTGGCTGGCACGCTGGGCACAGGAAGCTTCGGCAGAGATGTTTGGAAGCTGTAGAGCATGGGCCGCCGGCTGGACAGAAGGCGAACACAGATCTGAAGGTAAGGAGAACAGTGTTGGGGTGGGAGCTAGCAGGGAGAATGGACACGTCCTGCAGAACCATCCGAGCTCCTTCAGGACAAACACACGCACCAGGCACTATTGTCCAACCTGCCTCTCCCTTCTTGCTCAGAACCCCAAATGAGATTCCCCATCCTCTCAAACCAGATGCCTGCACCCTCCAGTGCTTCTGCTCACAGCCCAGATCTTGGTGGCATGGCTGGTCTTGCTGTGCATCTCGAACATCCATCCGTGGTAGGAAAGCAGCAGCTTCAGGGTTTGTCGGAATACGAAAATGCCTGTTGCCCAGATCCCGGTGGAGAAGATGACCATGCTGAGAAGTTCCTGGGTCTGTGGGGTCCCATAAGGGCCATACCTATTGGAGAATGAGGAAGGCTTCAGGCTATCCCTTTGAGGCCATCCTTTGGGGGATTCTAACATAGCTGATGACTGTCAACTGTCTTGGCAAAGACATGAATGGCATAAGACCCCGCTGGGTGCACTCAAGTCTGAGTGCATCAAATAGACAAACTGCCTTGGAACTGAGGGATGGTAGCCCTGTGAGAGAGCACCTTGGCCAGCCATGGGTGCATTTCAGTATCTGTCCAGTACAGGAATCCTGGCTTTGGGAACTGTCTTGGCCCTTTTTCCCGAAGCTGGTGTCTTCCAGGTGCCTTACCTGCCAGGGAGGTATCTCTGGATGCATTCGACCAGCCCCATGGAGATGTCCACCTTGCAGTAGTTGGAACCAACCGTTGCCATGACAATAACCAGCCAGCTGGTGGGGCTGCCAGGGTACACACCCCTAAGGATGCCATTCTGTGGGAGGGGGAGAAAATGTAATTAAGCCCCTGGGAAGTCCCAAGAAAAGGCTCCTGGTCTTTTTGCCTCGTACATTCACCGTGTTCCCCCTCCACAGACATCCACTTTATATGTCCTATCACGTCATGTCATTATCATCCTTGTTTCCGCACTATTGGACCCCGTCTGTTACCAGCAGTACTGTTGGAGAAAGGCGGAGACAGACGCTGAAAAGGAGACTAACTGACCCCTGGCCTCTGCCTAGACACCTGCTGGGGAAAAGAGGCCCAGAGAACCACCTGTTCCCACACCTTTATGCGAATAAGGCGTTTCTTCCAGGAGTTGATTCCGGACAGGTAGATGTGTCTCAGAGCTTCCCGACTAAGCCGGAAGTCGACCCCATCCGGGGTCACAGTGAACTGGAAAGCTACCGCCTGGTGTGCTTCCGCCATCCTGGAGTTTAGTCAGCACCTAAGGGTAGGGGCAGAAGGTGCTTAGAGTACCCAGGCCCGTCCCCGCCCGTCCGCCTCTAGCTGAGGCTCCGCCCCTCCCCACCGCCCCATCTGGTCTTCGCTCCCCCCACCCCCTACCCAGTCCCCTATGCGACCACCTCCCAAACCCGCCCGTGCCCCAACGCTAAGCGCCCCGCTGGGCCCTCCCAAGCCTGGCTAACCGCCGCCACCGCTGCAGAACCCTCGTGGGGTTCCGGATAGGCCTATCTGCAATGGTGCAGGAATCGGTCTCCAGGTGCCCGAAGGGCAGCGAAGGGCGGCTCGGGGTCCGGGAAAGACGCCCAGGGAAGGGAGTGGGCCTGGACAGAGACTAGGTTAGGGTGCCCCCACAGTCCTTGCTCGGAAAGCTCTGACGGTAAGGGTAAATGAAGAGTTGTGGGATGGAATGGCTCTGGGTCCGGCTGCCCTCACTGGTCCCTGGGAAGTCCACTCACAGCTCAGGTTTGCTTCTGTCTGTGTATGGGTCTGAGCACTCTGGCCCATGTCCCCACGTCCTTCAGGCCTGGCCACCCCGGCCCGGCCCCGCCCTGCCCTCACTGGGAACTTGACACCCACTCCCAAATTGGGGTGGAGAAAAGAGATATGGGCGGAAACCAGAACCCCCTCCTTTTGGTGGGGCGCCTAGGAGGGGTGGGCAGGGTTCCCACAAGCCTGCTGAAGGTTGCTGGGAGGTCTGGGACTGGAGAGTGGAGGGTCTCACGTGAGCATGGTTGCATCAGTGCTAAAAATAGCTGAATGTGGGGGAAAGGTCACCAGGAGTCAGCTGTGTAGCCTGTTCCCTAATTCCAGGACCCAAGGTTGACAATCACATCTAGGGCCCGCAGCTGCCCCGCCCCTGTCCAGTCCTCTTCCCCAGGCCAGTTATGTGTTACTTCTAAACCGGAGCCACAGAGTATTATGGAATAGGGGATCTCAATGAGTGGAACGGACGGACCCCTGACCACTTTTAAAATCACAGTGCACTAAACAAATCACTTAAATCTGTATCCCTCAGTTACTTTATGAAGAAGTTCATTTATTTAGGTTACGCAGCCCCAGGGGTTCCCAGATGCCCACCTTGGGCAACTACTCAAAACATGGGGACAGAGGTCAGGTTTGCAACAACAGTATCACTTCAGAGGCACAGCCCAGTCTCTGGGGGTTCTGCTGTTTGCCTCCCTCCAAGGTCCTGCCCTGGAGGCTCCAGAAGAAATCTGAGATGGGGCTGGATTGTCAAGGTGATGGGTGGAAACCGGTCAGCTGCCCCTTCTGCTGGAAGTAGAACTGGAACCGGGACTGGGCATACTCCTAAGGAAGGAAACCCATAATACAAAGTGGTGAGAAGGCTTGGGAGCAGCAGCCTAGACCTGCCGTGTTCTGCCCATGGCTACCAGGGACTGCCCAGACTTCCTGCAGGACGTGACCAGTGCTACTCCCTAGCCCCTACCCAACGTGCCCACCAGACGGGCTACTTACCAAGTAGCCAAACTCTATAGTGGACATTGATGCCTGGAGGATGGACCACAGACCCCAGAAAAAATGAGATGCCAGAGCGTACCTAAGGAATAGGGGGCAGAAAAGGCGGGACCATCAAGAGTACGTTTAGTATTGCCTGGCTTCCTCCAAGGCTAGTCAGTCTCCAAAGCCCCAGCTTCTCCCCCACTGTCCTAATCCTTACCCCACTGTGACGTTTTGCTTTTTTCCTGCTAGGTGTCATCGTTCACGACTATCCCCGCACCTCATCTGCAATCCTCCTTTTTCTTCTGTGTGCCCCTCTCCCGGTCTCCCCTCGTTTCTCACCAATTGACCTCTGTCAGCAACTCTTCTTCCAGCTTCTTCTGCTCCTCTTCAGAAAGGGTCTGACCTTTCTGAGCCTCTGCCAGATAATGGCGAATAAAATGGAGCTGAGATCAATGGAGAAGAGTCAGGAACTGGGGACACTGGAACATTACCCTTTCTAGCCATTCTTTCCGTTTACAAAAGCAAAAAGCCTTCCCGTTCCCAGCCTCCACACCTGCTGTCCTCTCGTGGGGTAGTCTGTGGGTCTTGCTTTGTAGAAAGGCCATTCCTCATAGGTGTAATCATAAACCCACTCACAAAAGTGATTCCCAATGTCAAAGCCCCTGGGGGAACAATGCAAACATTCAGTCCATGGGCAGCTAGCGCACAGTCGGTTTCACCAAGCCCTGTAGGGGCAGGTCCTACAGGAAGCTGTCCTCCCTCCCTTACCTGTAGTTGTAACTACTGTACTCGAAATCAACCAACATGAGGTTGTCGTCACCCTTCGGCTCTGAGAGCAGTAAGATGTTTCCTGGGGGAATGGGGACTTGGGTCACTTCAGGGCACTCCACCCCTTCAGCTTCACCCTCAAGACTCACATACGTTCTCATACCTTCCTGGATGTCATTGTGGCAGAAGACCACTGGTGACGGAGTGGCATCTAGCAATTTCCTACAGAGGTAGAAGGGCATAGGGTCACGTGACTATAGCCACCTTCAGGGCTGACTCTGGTCCTCAGCAATTCCTGGGGAGGACACCGTTGAATGCCACGCCTGCCTTCACCTGAGGTTGCCCATCTCGTCCTTCAGGCTGTACATCTCCAGCAGGTTCATCTGGGGGGAGGCCAGCGGAAGGCAGGTCCTGGATCTGCTTTAGGTACCTGTAAGCCCCCGGAATAGGATACATTCACTCTCCCACCTTTCCCCACCCCCTTCTCCTATGTACTGTGAGGTCAAATTTTCCTGTCACTGACTTGGCTGGGAAACAGGAGTCTATGACAGATGCTGACTCAACTAGAGGTTGGTTCAGTTTAGGTGTAGCATTCCCAAATTTGACTCACCGCTCCATAGTCCCAAACAGCCAGTGGGGCTCCTTCGTGAAGGGCATCTCCATACCATGGAAACGGGCCATCTTTGTTGCAATGGCCCCTGACAACACTGGGTCCCGCAGCTCTTGAGTTTTCAATGGCCGGCTCTGTACCCAGTAACCTATCAGGGCGGTGAGGGGGCTGGGGCGGGAGGGGGGGAGGGATACGGGGTGGGAGGAGATCAAGGTCTTAGGGAAATTTCCCTACCTGGGATGTGAAGGCTCACAATGGGGGAAGGGCAAGGACTTGGCAAAAACAACGAAAACTGGGCTCTTACTGGGAGGTACTGTTCCAGGCGGCCCTCTGGAAACACTCCATAGAGTTGGGGCCCTAGTGATCTCTCTGCAAGAATGGCGAACATCACGCTCTCTAATACCAAGGAGTCTACACCCTGAAGGAAGAGGGCATAGGGGCCCAAGAAAGGGTCAGAGGTGAGTGGGAACGGGTGCAAAGGGACTTCACTGACTGGGGATTCTGGAGCAGCATACTCGACTGCACAATTACCACAGCAGTCTCTGCAGCACTCGCTCATTTCAAGTTATGGCCCTCGTCCCCCCTCACCTGTAGGATGGCCCCATACAGTCGTAGCAGCACCTCGCGGGGCTCCTCGCCTACACTGGGCAGGTGGTTCGGGAGCGAGCATCGGAAGAGCAGGTTGCTAAGGCCTCCGCTGCAGATCCACACCGGTCAGGCTCAGCAAAAAAAAGTCTCCCGGATTGGTGAGACCCACCCTAGCCCCTACTCCCGAGAGGATCTCACCACCAGCACCCAGGGAGACCCCGACCGCCTCCCAGCACAGGAGTCTGCAGGTTGGCCCCGGCCCCGCCCCCTTTCTCTCCCCCCTCCCCGGCGTAGCACTGACAGCAGCGAAACAGGGAGTGTCTTGAGGACCCCGAGGTTGACCCCTGACCTCACGGGGCAAACGCTGAGCTCCTCCGGCCGGGCTCGGCGCCAGGCCCCGCCCAGGTACTCCCGGCACCACTGATAGGCTCGGCGCTGCGCGTCACGAGACAGCGAGGAAGCGCGCCGCCGATTGGGGACTGCCGCGGGGCACTTAGCATCCTGCAAGCTGTCCTTGATCAGGAAGCCGCCGACAGCCCCTCCTGCGGCTACACCTGTCCCGTCCGCCGCCATGACGTGGACTCCGTTAGGCTCAACGCCCGCGGGTGCTCAGCAACCTTCAGGTGGGCTCAGCTCCTTCCGGCTCGGCTCCGCTCGGTTCCGCTTCCGGCTGGTCCGGAACGTCTCCGGGCGTACTCGGTCGGCTCTTGGAGAGTGTCTTCGGCTTTCTTCGTGGTCCCAGTCCTGGGACTGTTTCCAAGTGAAGTGAGAGTCTTAGGGGTGCGGCGTTCAGGGCCAAGACGGAAGGCTGCTTTCCCTGGGGCGGGGCGGGGGTGGGGGGCCGCTCTGGCCACGCCCTATAAGGCGGGTTTCTGTAAAGACAGACTCCTGCGTGGACTGTCCCCAACCGAGGAAGTGACGTCGGCCAATCCGGAGCGCCGTGGACAGTTGGACCTTAGCTAACAACGTTTACCCGGAGCCAGGCTCTGCTGGCCAATGAATGGGCAACGGTGCTAGATCGCGGCTTCCCTATGGCACCTGTATTGAGAGACACCGGACTAGGGCGCAGAGTGGTCAAGCACCCAGTGGCACTTGGTGAGTGAGTAGAAGAATTCCCCTTTCCACAAGGCATCCTGTATATGTAATGCTGGAAGGCATAATTGGAATCCGTCCAGCGTGTCCAGCGCTGCAGGAACCTCACGAGTACTATGAATGTGACCCAATACAATAAACTTACAATTTATGAGGTGGATTTTTTTCACGATTTGTGTGTGTGACTTCTGTTAAATATCGGGGGGGGGGAGCCGCATTAGTGGTCAGTCCAGAAAGGAAGTCAAGACAATAATAATTTTGAAGGATGAAGTTTATTAAAATGAAAGGGCCTCAAAGCCACAATTGGGCTTTGGGCTGGGGGAGAGAGAATCACATAAAAATAATAAAATACTCCTGGTGGTTATGGTGCTCGCCTTTAATCCCAGCACTCGGGAGGCAGAGGCAAGAGGATCTTGAGTTCGAGGCCAGCTTGGTCTTCAAA